GCTCGTGAAAAAAATCTGATCGCTGTTAAGGCAAAAAAACCCAATTGTCTGGCAAAATATGCAATGCCACTGTACAACAGTTTGGGACAGGAAGTGAAGGACAAAGATATCAGAAAAGAATGGCAGATAGAATTTAATTAAATGCATTATAAATAAATCAAATCTATGTGAATCTCCTGGAGCTGGAACCTGGCCATTATACTGCAGGGACTTCATTTCCCTTAGGAGAGACATTTGTATTTTTAAGCTATAGTGTGAAATCAGTCCAATACTGAAGGCTGAAATACTTCCTTATGTGTGCAGCTGGAATGAAAATGTTTTTTATTACTGCTAGTTACACTATTGTGGTACCCAAAATATATGAGGTACTGTTCAATTGCTGTGGATATAGTCCTGATACTTAACAGAAAAAAAAAAGTGTAGGAGGACAAGAAAAAAAGGGGTGGATGTGCAAGAAATTATAAGAGGTGGTAGTACAGCTTGCTCTAATCCTTCTTTCATACTTTGTACTTGCCTTGATGATCAAGCCTGCTTTGCCATTCTTTTTAAAAAATAAAAACACTGTTTTTGCTTCATGTCAGTAGAGAAGTTGCTTTCACCTTTCTCCTAGTCAAGAACAGAAGGCATGTGTTTCTACAGTCAGATCGAGTCCAAATCTGATTTAACTTGCATGTTGTGTAAATCAGCGAGGCTCCGTGAAGTACAAAGCAGGACAGCCTTTGACCTGCTTTGTTTGTTTGTTTGTTTTTAATAAATATTATGGATGCATTGGAACAGGCTGTGATATTTTTGAATTCCTTTCCTTGCCCTTTTTAGTCTTCGGAAGCCCTCGAGGGGTTGCCTCTGGGAATCGTTTATTTGCAGACAAGCGAAGAGAGGTTTATTGAGTAGCGAAAATATCATCTTATTTTGTTTCTGTGCTTTCCACTTTTATTCTGAGAGATTAACCTGTACCAGAAAAGCACTTTAATGGAATATAACTGCTCTATGAAGAGGGCCTGAAGATACCTATGCAGTATTTATATGCTGTCTCAATTACTGCTGCAAAATAGTCTGATGACTCAGCAAGGGGACCTAACGGCATCTTCAATAACTCTTTTCCATTTAGGTCTCTGAAGAGGAACCAAAACTATACTGCTACTTGGTCTTTCATTCCCTGTAGGTCACACGTTTTGGTGCAAAAAGTACGAATGTCATCTCCTGCACGCTGAAAATGCAGATGAACCTGCAAGCAAGGCTGAGCTGAATGGAAAAACGAGGTTTCATAACAGCGCAAGTCTTCTTGAGCATAAAATACTTGAGGTAAATGTGGCTGGTTTCCAATCACATTAAAAAACATGTTGGGGTATACCCCTTACAATAACACGTACCATAGTCTTGACGGAGAGGTCCCATAACAAAGGAAATGTTTTACTTCAAATGGTTTCCTGGCTTACTGTGCAAAGCAAAGGTATAAATTGTTATCATCTCCAAAGGCAAAAGCTGAGGAGTTAAGACTAATAAAGAAACCAAGAGTAAAACTTGGGAAGTATTGGTGCACGGCACAGTGTGGGAGATGCTATAAAGAAGGATTTTTTTAACGGTGTCAGAAAGCACATCAGGGGAGTCAGCAGCAAGCGTCAGTTGCTCAGGAATACTCAAAGAACTGTTTTTAAGAATATTGTGACAAGTTATATGGAGCAACAAGGGACACTCCCGACTTTATCAAGAGTGAGGCAATCATTCCCATAGCCATAAAAGTATCTTGGCAGGCAAAGGCTATAAATGTAATAAAAGACAGGGGAGGGGGGAAATGTTGTCTATGCTCATAAAAGAGGATGGCGATTGTGTAGTTGTAGTCCTTCATAAAATCCTTTGAGTTAGGAGGGGAAGAAATTGGGTTAAAAGACTAGTACAAAGCAACCTATAATATTTTGCTGGAAGCTGATAGGGTGGATGAGGGGAAACATCACTGGATCCTTAGTCCGATTTTATCTCTTTCCTATAAACATCAGCTACCGGCCACTGTTGGAGACAGGACACAGCAAGATGAATCTTTTCTCTAATTCAGTATAGGTATTTTCAGATTTTTAGCTGAAGTAAAGGATGGTAGTAAAACTAAGAGCAGCAGAACAATTTTATTAAATCAACGCATATGGGGTTTTTACACAGTCTTAGACAAAGAACCATGCAAAGGGCAGGGTGGAAGCAGTGAATAAGGTGAGAACTATGTTTTGTTTTGGTTTGGTTTGGTTTTTGTTTTGCTTTGTTTTCCTTCTGGAAAGCTGTGGCAAAAAAAAAAAAAAAAAGAGCAAACACCTCAACTACTTTTCTAGATAAGATTACACGAATGTCTAAATCATTTTTACATAAAAAATCTTTTGATTGCAAGTTTCCTTTCTGGCATAAGTGATCACATTCATCGCTAGCAAATGAATGGTGTGGATTAGATCACCAATTGTTGAAAAAAAAACCCCAACAGTTCTGTCAGTTCAGAAGAGGTGTATGATGGTGACAAAGTCCTTTACCTTCTCATTTTCTTAAAAAAGTTTTTGAGACTAGAATATTAACTTCAGCGTGTTTGGTATGTGTCCTAACAGTAACTGAAGCAATTCTGCAAGGTTTGAGGCTTGCCCTAATTTATTCAGGCTTCCTTCTGATTCTTTAAGTCAACAAGACATGATAACGGGTGAAGATTCAGACTTTAAAATACATTCCTTTGGAAAAGGAGATTTACTTCAGTTCTTTAGGTATACTGGTTAATGAGAACTGTGATAGCTCTCTGGAGATACATAAAAGACTGTTAATGACTGGTTCATTTATAAGTGATGAAGATCTCTCCAGATCAAAGTCCTTCAATAAGTGCTATAAATAGAGGGTTGTGGACTTGCAGAGATCCGGACAGTGGTATACTGTCACTGGAGTGCCCTACCCCACCGGTGAGATTTCTTTAAGACTCAACTTTGAAAGGGATCATTTTCCATTTGCAATTTCTTCTCAGCCATTTAATTTACCTTTCTTCCTCCACTCCGTATCTCAGCTTTGCAGAGCCAGGTGGTTTATGGCTACCATATGCGCACGTTTTCTCAGTCACATCTTCCTTTTTCTACCTGGAAGTTTTGTTCGGGTGCTGTTAGAGGATTTTGCACAGTTTTCTAGGACAACAATGTGCTCGGTATCCCTTCAGAAGCAGGAGGATTCACACCGCCCAACTGCTTGGATGATCTGCCCATTTGGGAAATTCCAGGATCATTGTGCAAACGTAGATGAGCTGGACAACATCCGTGCAGCAGGTCCAATCCTTGCTGACACTTCTGGCTCACTGTGCATGTGCTGTTTAGCATATCTCTACGTTTCTGCCTGGAGAATATTGATCAGAAATACTGTCGTCCTGAAAGCTAAATGTTTGAAATGCACGTGACCCTCTCCAAAAACATCGTCTGTACCATCTTGGTACAGAAAGAAATACGTGGCCATATGTCAACAAGTGATCAATGTCCTCATGTCCTTTCCGATTTTCATCCTATTCGCATGCCAATAGTTACTGAAATATAATCATCTAAGTATAAAAGATAAAATTATCAAACTTGATGTTTACAAAGGCTAATTTTAATGGATAAATAAACTAAATATTTATTTTCAGAAGTGTTATCTTCAGGATTAATGATAAACAAATACTTTGTTCCATACCTAGCGCCTCAGCGCCTCAAACTTGGAGTGAGGGCTGGCCAGACCTTCCCACAAGTGTTTAACCGAATCACTGGGAGCTTGGGACAAGGAGTGTAGGCCTATTTGTAAAGTATTTTTACGATTTGTGCATAAAATCTGCTCTATAAATACAGTTTTATTACCACTTAGTTCCCTGACAGAATATTCAATGCAATCATGAAAAATAAATCTCTATTATTCTTTGCATGCAGTTCCCTCTTGCCCCCCATGGGATGAAAGGTAAGACTCCCATTAACTCCAGCAATTGACAGTCAAATCTGTGATTTAAAATTGAACTGAAATTTCAGCGGACAGTATCAATGTTTTAGTATCTAGAGAAGCAGACATTGGTTCATGACTTGAAAAGTACCAAGCGTCTGCAACTTCCACTGAAGTCGAATTACGAGTGCTTGACACCTCTCCCTGTTTGTCCTGCTACTCAGAAATGTAGATTGTAGATTCTGAAATGTAGAAGAGAGAAAAAGGCAGTTTAGCAGGAATATTTCTCCAGGGCTAAATAATCACAAAGTTCAACAGCAGCTGAACTGTGCTGAAAAGGGTGGAGCAGATCCTAAAATTAAGATTTTTACACATATGAAAAAATGTATATATACAATATATTACATATCACATTATATCTTATATTTATATATATTATATTTGTGGATCTATATTTTGTATATATATATTTATACACATGAATGAAGAGCACTTTTACTACTATGTAATAATATGAATATTTATAATATTGCCATCTGATGATGGTTAGGCCAGTCTTATAATTACTGCTATTGATTAATTCTAAATGATTCATAGCAGTGACTATAATAATAGTGACTGAAATGATAAAAAGTCTTCAAAATCCTCTCCTCATCCACTTTCTCTTTCTGCTTCTTTGTTTCCTTCAGCTCTTCAGCCATAGTTGGTGCATTTGTGAGGGCAGAGACTAACTCACCTTTTATGGCCTGTCCATTAGGAATTACCTTCACAAAAGCAAAAACTGCCATTAAAACTACCACTTTCCAACCTTGATCTTACTCTAATTTCTCGTACCGTCAGGCACTTAAAGAGCAGTGCACCTTAGTGAAGTGGTCAACTTTCAGTGATAAGAATCATTGTTCTTCCTAATACCTTCAGATGCTCCAGTGTCCAAGGGCACTTTTTGAAATATCCATGAATATGGATTTCTTAAGAGTTACGGAACCTATACTAACAGATTGAAAGCTTCTTACTTCGTTATTGAGAAATAATCAAAGATTCTAATCCACAACATGAGACATTTAAAGGGAACAAATAACATGTCGTTCAGTTGACTTGAGAGGGAGGTGGTAAAGACATGCCTTTCAACCTCTCAGCACTCTGAGAAGGGAGAGGTAAGGACAATAATCCTCTTTAAGCTGCGAAATATTAAGGAGTCAACTAAAATGCTTCCCTTTCAGATTTTACTCAAAAGTTGTTTTATTGATGCTTTAACACTCAAGCACATTCAGTAAATGGGACCACAGATGTGGCCACCGTCCTGACATGATGAGCCTGAGGAATTATGGGATATGGCATCTTTCATCTTGCAGCCTGTGGTCAAAAATGAGTGAACTGATCTCAGCCCCATTTCTAGTGGCCTCATATCCACTGAAAGACCCCAATTGTTGGCCTTTTCAATTCTTATAAATGACAAGATGATGACTTACTTGTTCCAGAGGCATATATGCAGAATAAAATAACCTTAGTAACATACTTGTCAATCCACGTCAAAGAAATTTTCTTGGCTCTTCCCTACGCTTTTCCTGTTCTGTGCAGTATCTGGGCAACTTATCACCTTCTCTGAGAAGTATATTCTGTGCTTAAAGGAAAAAGTTATATTCTAGAATGACGTAGCTGGTACCAGTGTTTGACATTTTGTCACTACAAGGGGAAGGTGGAAAGGATTTTTTTTTCTTCTTTTCAAAACTCTCTTATCTCACCAGCCTACTAGTCCCATTTCCATTCTTCTGTGTGCAGTATTGTAGGAGCAACTTCAGGAGCATAGTATCTTCACTGAATCATGCTCTCTGCTGCCTAAACCTTATAGAACTCCACCAAGACATTCAATTCTGTTACAAAGCTGTCCTGAAGCAGGGAAATTTTCCTTCATGTTCTTTGTAGCCTTTGATGCAATTGAAATAGAAGAATAAAATTCATTGTACCTATGGGATCCATCTTTTCTGATATTATCTTCATCTCCTACATTCACTACTGTCATTAATTGCCTTAAAAACATGTATTGCTGGTTACAACATTGCATTTTTGTAATCTGTGATGGCTGTGGAAAATCAGTTCTGGGGTAGCCAAGCTGCTTCTGCATGTTTTGCAGATAACATGGTGGGGGGGGTGGGGAGGGAAGGGGTGGGAAGGGGGTAGAAGTGTCAATGCAACCCCCCTACCTAAACTTGACTTAAACAGCTAAGTTAACTCGATTCTTATCAAAGTAAGGCAAAATTTCAGATAAATTAAGTCAGGAATCGCAGCACAGAGAAATACTTCTCCTGTTTCACATAGTCTTGTTATTTTCCTTACAGGGCTTCAAAAGGGAAGGAAGACATTCCCGTATGCCAGGCTTTGAAGGTGAGCTGCTTTGTGTAAGCTCCCTGCAGTGCTTTGCTGCTGAAACCAACAGTTTGAAAATTTGAGCTATGCTTTTTTATCACCTATCTTTTAAGCGGCTGCAAGGGCTAAACACAGCTCAAGTCATTTCTTGAGCTATATCTGAAGCACAAGAGGTGCCGAACCTGAGCTGTGCTTCCCAACTTCTCAGTTTTAGGCCCCACTCTACATTTAACTTCATGTCTCCGTAAGACCAAGGTCTTCGTCCTCCCCTCGTCCATGAGCGGGGGGGGCAAACAAGCCTGCTGCATGGCCCTGTAAGGTTCCCAGCCTGGGCGGTCAGGAACGAGGAGAATCTGGATGCATGTTGGACCACGATGCCTAGGGATGTACCATAATAATAAGTATGTCGAGAGAATGCTGTCTTTGATTACTTATAACACTTAGCTATATTTGAATCCTGCAATCTGACAATAGCATCAGACTGTATTCAAAGTTTAGGGAAAAATATTAATAGGTATTTGGCTGCAGGGGCATGATGGCTTTGCAGTTTTTACTCATCCTTGTATATCAATACTGAACTGGTACAATACACAGTGTGCAACACATTCTGGAATTGGTTCAGATTTGAAATCCTGTGCAACGGCATTTGTGGATGTATGTTAGTCATATACTTATTAATTTCATGTTAAAAAGTATTGTTTTGGAAAAGCTGACTTATAATGAGCGTATAAAAATGAATTGGTGTAAATCGTTTCATAGTAGTCCTTGTATTGTCTCAATGGAACAGTATTAAAACTACTACATATCTTCATTTCTTCCTGAAAGTTGCCATGAACTCACAGAGGTTTATCCAAAGTCCATTCGAGTCACTGGGATATAAAAGGTCTTTCAACAGTGAATTAATTTTTCTGATGGATTAAACAGCTTTAGGCAAAGGCAAATTAAGTAATGTAAATTATAATTATCCTAAAGTGTTATTCTAGTATTATTAGTTTTACTATAGCTTCCAGGCCAATTTTAAATATCAATTAGTCTGCTGTGAATGCAGGTAACTGTTGACTTAGAGCTACTAAACTTTTTCTGAACCTTTACTAATGTCGTAGATCAAAATCTGGATCAATTGCTCTTCTTGGTATGACTTAAAATGAAGTATCCTTTTCTAGTTTTCCACCTAATATTTCTGGCACACTCTACAATAGTAAAGCACAATATTCTTTATCAAATTCATTCTTGCTGCCAAAAAAGAATGTTGCTTTTTCCTTTTACCTTTCTGTGTTTTTTCTTTGGAGAAGAAAAGGTGATTCAGTTGCAGAGTTAATAGCTTTTTACCTTATTACTGATTTAAGTCCTCATTTTCTCTAAGAAGTTATTGAAAAAAGAGTCTCAGCTTTTCTCTAGCTTCTTTTAAAAAGGTACATGAAAAAAACACAATTTATATCCACCTGGAAAGAAATATTTTAGTGTCTATTGCCCTAACAAAATCTAGGGAAAGTTTTATTTCTCCTAGATATCCCGGTATGTGCATAAATAACAGGGTTTATAAACAAGTGCCCCTATCCATATGGTCACCCAACTGGTGGTGAGAGATCCCAAGGGCGATACCAATTAATAGGAGCACAAGCATAAAGTTAGGAAAAGCTACTAAGACAATGTTATTTGTATAGTTTGCAAGTGATGATAAACCCTGTTATCAAAATGATAACTAATATGTTTCTGAAGTGTCTTTCATCTAGAACAACCCTGCTGGTACTTTCCAAGGAGGACTTATTATAGACATAATTAGGTGATGAATCTCTGATATACAGTGGAGTTAAAAATAAAAGAACTTTCTGAGGAAAAGTGCAGAGATTAAGGGCTAGATCCACTACGTGACTCTGCTGTTAAAGACCTGGCTCCCTTGGCTTTAATTTCAGAGCTGTGACTCTAACACATGGAGAATCTGTATCATGATGCAGTACCTCCTTTAGGACATGGTTGATTCATTTTCTTACCTCTTTAAACCTTGCTGACTTGAAATCAGCATGAACACTCTCCTCAAACACATGCATGCATCTTCATTGAGTAATCCTAGGTATGAAAACACTTGGATTTGGCAAGTTCTTTGGCATATGTCTGTGATAATTGCCAGTGTAATCTGGAGCAGTCAGGGTATGCAGGCTGACAGCCTGTCTTAAACCTGTCTGCTCTTATATCTAGATTATATTTGGATTCAGAGCATTCCTGAAAAGAAAGCAAATTGTGCAGGGAGCTACAGCAGAGGTGTTTTTAAACTGTTTTTAAACTATGTCCAGAGTTATCCTATCAATATTTTTTATTTACTGCACCGAGGTGGCCGACCACACTCCGAGCGTTAATATTCTTGAAGCCTTTTTCCTCTTCCCTGGGTCTCATTTTGTGATGTGTTATTCTCCACATGCCAGAGCCCTGGCACCTAGTAGAGTTCTGGATTTTGCCTAGGGGGAATAAGACCTCTAAATATCATATATTAGCTTCCAACCATACAGCTCTCTTATTGGATCCAGCTTAGGAAGGAAAAAGTACAGTAAGAGGAATGAACAGAAAATATTGGTGAGAAAATATTCATCTTTTTCAATGGCAAATGTAGGATACTGCAACTACTCATTTCTGCCAATTGTTATTACTCAGAATATGAATGTGATTTGGGGAATTTAACTAAGAGACCCTCAACTGACTATTTTGGAACACAGAATGATTAATTTTCCAGCAAGATCTGAAAGAATTTCTAATGTGTGAGTGTTTTGATTGGTAGTCGGAGGAAATATTTTCAAAGGTCAGGAGAGAAGAGGAATGCAGAATATATCCAGGGAAAAATCGGACTTTGTTATATAAGCAGGTTAAATTTGCATCAAATCTAAAGAGAGGTTGACGTTATTTAAATTTCTAATGCTGAAAAACAAATGAATGCAATGTATACTGTTCTGCCACAGTGGTGGAGTACACATGCAATAAAGATTAGGGAGCGCAGGTTATTACTGTAGCATGTATGGTTGTTGCAAAACTTTGGATCGTAAGTTCAATTTATGTAAGGTTTTCTGCTTGCAGTTAGCTTATTTCATCCAGATGTTGGCATTAAAAAGGTGACAAAAGAAGTTATAGCAAATCACTTTTCTCTGCCGATCAGTGAATATAAGAGCTGTAACGCATCATTCCAAATGCGCGGTGTCTCGGGGCCTTTGAATCAAATGTGATCACTTTACCAGGGGAAAGATGTGTGCCCATTTCTTTTCGTTAGCTGTCAGCTTGGAATATGAAAGTCAAACTGTGCTTTGCTCTGCTTGCACTTTATTGCCAGCAGTAACCATTCTGTAATACCTCTATAACCCTACTATCATTTGCTTGTCCTCTTCATTGCGCTAAGGCAAGATTGTGCTTCGGC